CTGGGGTGGGTGGGTGCAAGAGCACCCTCTGGAGGTCGGGAATGAACACACAACCCATTGCCTAGGTCCTCATCCTCCCCCCCTTCTCCTTTCCCACATTTCTCTTCTTCTCTCACTCTTGTCTCTGTTTGCCAGGTAACTATGGAAACAGAAAAAAGACCAGTTGTAAAGCATCTAAGATATACTGTGGTGTTTAATCACATCGAATTCTCCTCCTCCTCTCTTTACTTTTTAGTTCCTAGATTTAGGCTCTTTTTCCTTTCAATTCCCTCTTTTTTTCCCTTTCTTCCATTTTTAACCTCCATCTTCCTCTCCCTAATTTCTCTTTTGGGAGAGTCGCCTAAGAGAAGAAAGAGAAGTTGCTTTCCACTACATTATTCCTCTCCTTTGAGGAAAATTACAGTTTATGAAATGTCCAAATATTTACTGGAAAAAAATAGGCTACAGGATTTCACAAAATCTTCAAGAACTTTTCTCTACCTTAATACATTAAAGAGGACATTGAAAGAAAATGTTTTAGCCTAAGGGAATAATGGTTTGAGTTGCTATATTAACAAATAAGTATTGAAGTAAAGAGATTTCCTAAAGTTTGAACCATATTTTTGTTGTATATTTATTGTTGTATTTAAGGCATACAACATAATTTTTACACTTTCACATAATGAAATTGTTACTTTAGTCAAGCTAGCTAACATATCCATTATCTTACAGTTATCCTGTGTATGTTTAAGAGCATCTAAATACAAGTACATGATATATATTTCTTTATCCGTTTACCTGTTTACAGATGCTTAGGTTTATTCCATGTATTGGCTATTGTGAATAATGCGCAATTAACATATGCACATAGCTATATGTGGTGCTGATTTCATTTTATCTGGAGCTATTTCCAGAAGGTGATCACTGGGAAATATGATTGTTCTATTTTTAATAGTTTAAGCAACTTCCATACTGTTTTGCACAAGGTCTGCAGTAATTTATATTCTTATATCCAGTGTTCAGTGGTTCCCTTTTTTTCTATATCCTAACCAATACTTGATACCTCTTGGTTTTTTTGGCAGTAGCCATCCTAACATATATGAGGTGGTATCTCATTGTGATTTTGATTTGCATTTCCCTGATAATTGATAATTATTAATAATGTTAAGTATGTTTTCATGTCTTCTCTGGAGAAATGTCTGTTCAAATTCTTTGCTCATTTTTAACATGAACTATTTTTAAATTACATCCTCCTCTTAATAAAGAAAACAAACTGTAGAGAACATTAGTTTACAAAAGTACTTTTGGACTATTAGGAAAAATCACAAATATTTTACCTGCTTTGTGTGTTTTTGATGTAGAAACACTGGTGATGGGAAATGGGGAGTATGAAGATGGAGGGGGACACAAGGACTGCTGACCTTTGAGATTCAGCTATGAACAAGATAGAGGAAAAAGAAATAACATAGCAAGCCAGGCCTTGGAATTAACATTCAGAATCTGATCTTTGCTGGTGGAGCAAACCAGAGTTAAGTGAAGGTAAGTTATTTTCTGAGAATGACACATAAGTTATTATGAAGAAAAAACAAGCCTTTTAAAAATTCTCCTTTTCCAAAGAAAGTCCATTCCTATAAGCAATGTTGTATGGCAATAGCAATGGACTGGGGGAAAAGAAGGATTAATAAAATGGAAAAATTCTTTGGAGCAATAGTATTTTAGAATCTCATGAGAATTTATGGTCGGGTTGTTGTGAGTATTCTGCACTTTATGGAAGGCAGTGTAGTTACTGCTTCAACAGACCTGGAATTCCTGAAAGGCCTGCCCCATGCTTATGTTCATAATCTATCTCACAGTACCTGGGACCCAGCCTGGAACAGACACACTCTATCGTTATAGTAATTAGTCACTGACTATGTTCTCCACAAATTTTTAAAGATAATTATTTAAATTCCACTTTTATTGCTCAGATTCAACTGGAATCATTATTATATATTTTTCTTTAAATCAATACTGCAAACAGTATAGTCATTTGGCTTTTAAACCATAAAAGATAAACCCTGTTTATAGCCATACCTGTAGTATCTAGCATTTGTGTGCTCAGTAAATATTTATTATTGAATGGGATATCACTTTTTAATTAACTTTTATAAACATATTGTACTTGTGAATGTGCTGTCAATATATACATAGTTCTCACACATTGTAGAAATAGCCTCGTAAAGAACTATAACTTTGAGGATAATGATTAAGTTCATAGCAAAGATGGACAAAATCAAAAGAACTATTTTTGCAGTGAAAGAGGTTCTTCTTAGAAGTCATAACCCCCCCCAACTTCCCTCTTAGTGGAGCTATAAAATAATCAAGGCCATATAAAAGCACCAATTACTTGGAGGCCAGGGTTTTAGCTCAGTGGCACCACACCTGGCTCACCAAGCACAAGGTCCTGAGTTTGATCCCCAATACAGAAAAAAAAATTGTAGAGTGAGGGAGAAACTGGCTCTGCAGAGCAAGTTTGGCCCAAGAAAAAGAAAAAAAAAAAAAAGGACACCCTGGAGAAAAGCACTAATCACTTGATGAATACATACCTACTGTCTCAAACAGTGCACATATCTCACTTAAATTTTGCCCCTCATTATGACATAGTAATATGTAACACAGTAATCATTACCGTGGTGACTTTACTGTGAGGAAACTGAGACTTAGTGAAATCATATACCTATATGTGTGAAATCCAGTTTTTAAATCTGAGCCTGTCTGATAGGTATGTTTTCCACATTACATTCTGTCATTGTCTGTCACATGGTGTGGAAGAACTTCACTAGAGAAAAGCAAAGGTAGAAAGTTTTAGTACCTGTCACATCTAAGGTGGGAGCATTGTATTAACCAATCCATAATTGACCATCTGGGAAGTATGGTTATAATACATTACTCATACCAGTATATAGAGATTTTTCAAATTATCATGTTCAAATACTTGGCAAATGGAATGGGATAGCCCCTTTAAAAGTATAATCTATTTTCATAGAATTAATTTACTTTCCAAAGAGCATTGTTAACCCACAGAGCTCATTTAGGTGTTTCACACTATTGACATGAGTCTCTCTCAAAAAGCAAATTGTTAAACCAGCATATGAAAATGAAAGAAAAATCAAAGGAAGTTAAGGTAATGCAATCAGCGTGCTTCCAAAAAAAATTTATGTTTAGAATATTGTCAATTTCTCTCAATAAGGTTTGAAAAACAGGGGAAAATATGACAGCATAAAAGAAACTTTTAAAATAAGCTTGAAGAGTTAAATGCACATTCAATAACATTCTCTACACCAAAGGCTAATCTTATTTGATTATTAACTTGTGTTTAATTTCCCCTGACAAATAATTCACCTTTGTTAATAAGCATTTAGCACTCCAAAGCAATTCTCATAAGCTCATGAGAATGGATTTTAAACAGTAGCCATTGCTAAGATGCTGCTCTAAGTGCAATTAGAAGAGCATGGAGTGGATAAAAGTATTAGGCAGGGGTAGCAAGTTGCGAGGAAACAGGCCCTCACTGGTTAGTTACTGGTGCTGTTCATTCACATGTGTCTTCCTTATAATGATACACACACACACACACACACACACACACACAAACAACGAAAAACAAAACTTCAACAATTCTAAGACCTCTTTGGGGTTTTAAAAGAAGAATTTAACTACTCTTTAATATGAGTAATATTTTTAAAAACTGATCCACAAATATTTGTCAATCACTTTACCATTAAATTCTTTTATAAAAGATATTGTTCAAGGATGTTGTAACTGGAGGGGTCTCAGAAATCATCTCATCCATACTATTCTCCTCTAGAAGAAAACCTGAGGATCTAAATAAAAGAAAACCCTCTAGGCACAGCCAGTATAAGATAATCCTCACAAGTTTTCTAAGCCTATACCTACTATGAACACTAGCCATGAAGTTGAATTTGTGTGATTCATTAACTTTACTGACAAAGGTGCTTGCCAGCTTTCCAGTTCAGTCTCTGGTATCACCTTCCAGGTCCATGGAGATTGTGTGATTTTTCTTCACTTGTAGAAGTGAATTTTCAGTTATTTCACATGAAGTGATCTCACTCCCTATCTCCCTCCTTAAAGGGTCACGTATTTGCCATAGGAGTGTTTTATATAAACAGGCTGAAAGAACCCAGCAGCTTTGCATAATAAGAAGTACAGGAGAGACAATTCATTCATGAGTTAAGGCTTCAAACAGCAAGTTCTGGGCATCTTTTCCAGGAAGTGCATTTTCAGGTCCAACATAAAGCTCTACTAACAAGGAACAATGACTGATATAACCTGCTTCAAAAACCCTCAAACCTCATTTCCTTGGGAACACTAATCACTTTTCCAAAACTCCAGGGTAGAACAGTTATGTGCTACAAACTTCACTGAGAACTGTGCCACTTTTTGATAAAATTTCAGTTTGCTGATTTCATGCGGATTTTTTAAGCTCAGGAGCAGTCACACAATTGGGGGCAATATGAGTTCTGTTCCAGATTTTCTGCCTAAAATTACAATAAAGCCCCGAATCTTTAAATGTGCTAAATTGCAAACTGATGTGTTCAGTTTCATCCGGAGCTCATCTACCACCCTAGGACTCCTGCTCAGGGCTGGCTCCAGGTGGTGGTAATCTATGGAGTTAAAGAGCTTCCAGGGCAGCGGCCAGCAGCCCAGTCCCTAGCTAAATGTAACTAGATCCCAAGCAAAGAGCCAAGTAAGGCGCCCCTTTTCCAAGGCGTATCTGCTCCTGGAGCCTCTGTACGTTAGAGACAGGGTCCTGTCACCACCGATTTATCAACCCAGCAAAGCACGCTGGAAAATCATTGGGCTCTCCTGGCTCCCAAACCCAACCGGCTCTAGGCTAGGGCCGAGCAGTCGTAGCTTCAGTCACTCTCCTGACAAGCAGACACAGAAATAAAGAACAAAAGGAATGGTTCGCTCCCCCCGAGAGAGGCAGCATGCAATAAAAAGACACGAACCCCTTGTCCTACCTTGCATCCAAACATCAACGACAAAGTGTTGTTGGTGCAAGCAACTTTGCAGTGGCAAATCATTGGTGTAAAACAGTCAGGGTCCTTAACAACGGGGGACATTCCTTTCGGGCTGCGGCAGTGGCAGCTCGCTGGGGGACGCGAACACGGCTCTCGCCCAGCTGCACATGGAGCGATAGCCTAGAACAAGCGGCCGCCGAGAGCGCTGCCCCCTGCGCCTGGCGCAGCCATCCCGGAGCCCAGGTGAAAGCAACGCTTGGGCAAGTACGGGCGTCTCGGGGTCTCCCTTCCCTGGGGAACCAGGCGTGGGGGCAGGGACGGACCAAGAAGGTTTTCCCCACTATGGTGAGGTGGGGGGAGGTAAATCTTTCAAAAAATTAAAACATAAAAATAAATAAAAATAAAAGGAAGTGAGGCGCTTAGAGGAGGGTTGAAAGGAGGTGGGGCAGTATTAGCATGTAAAAGGATGTGCCCGCCTACACGCCCCAGTCACACAAGATTGTCATGCGAGCTGAAGGGGGCTGAAATTATTTCCTCCGAGGGGAGGGGGAGAAAAAAATACACTGCAGCTCCCGATTTGGTAAAAAGCCAGTGGCTTGCTGCAACCCGGAGTCACCGTGGGGAGCGCTGGCCGGGCGAGTGGGGTGGGAGGAAGGGAGGGAGGGAGGGGCCGAGAGAGGGGCAGCGCGGCGCTAGCCGGCCCGGCCCAGCCCCGGGCGCTCGGGGCCCCGAGGAGTCCCAACCTCAGGTCACCCCAAGACCACACTGGGCCCTCATCGCTACTGCCATCCGAGTGGGACGGCTTCCGAGGCCGAGGTCCCCTGAAGGAGAGGCCTGAGCGGAGCCCGGCACCGAGCGTCCTCCCGCCCACTGGCGACCGCGTGCGGGGGAGGGGCGGGAAAGGTGCCCGCCGCGGAGACCCGGGTTCTGGGGGGATCCGCTTCGTTTTCCCAGTGCCTTCCGCCCTTAACTTCTGGGTCAAGGAGCCTACTCACTGCCTCCTGGGATAAGTGGCCTCAGAGCCAAGGTTTTATCTCACAAGAACATTTGAAGTGTCTCTCTCTTCCCACCTTGATGTCTTTCAGACTTCCAGAAGCCCCAGAAGTGTTTATGTTGTGCTGCAAGTATGAATAACAAGACAGGTGGATGCTTTATTGTTTGTTGTTGGTGTTCCCTTTTAAACTGAGACTTGTCAGTTGCAAAAAGACTCCACAATATCAGCATGTGGCTGGCACAGCTGCAGAATCGCTTATTGGAGATTTTAAAAATATGGGATAAGAAGTGTATAGGGCAGGAAGTGGGTAAATCTAGTACTCTGAGTGCCACCTGGGTGCCTGGCATCATGCCTTACAGATGGGTAGTGGAGAGAAAGCAAGACTTCTGTGTTTGGAATGGGGCTCTGATGCTGGGTGGGTGGGTGGGGCTTTGGCTAAGCCATTTACATTATCTGAGTTGGTTTCTTTTTCTATAAAATGGGACTATTAAACCCTGAAGACTAGGCAGACAGGGAGAAGAGCACATTCCTGTCACATGGCCCAGGACAGGGCAGCTGCTCTTTCCTTACATAGCTTATCTCATGTGTTAGCCTGAGAGATACATATTATTGGATGCAATTTGTCTAGTGGAGGAAACTGAGGCCTTAAGGGTAATATTATTACCCAAGTCACACAAATCAATCAGCCAGAGGTGGAGTTCAAACAGAGGTGATAGAAGGTAGGTTAGAAAGCAGTATAACTGGAGATCTCACACACATCTCTCCAGAAGCCTGACTCCAAGTCACCCAATTTATTTAGGAAATCAGCCCTGTAGCATTACCATGAAAGGGTAATTGCAAAAGACTTTCTACCTGGTTACTGAACTCAAATCCCACTTGAAATAGAGCAACAACATAGTGCTAATGTACACAGCAAGCTCTGTGAGAGTAGTACCTTCCTAATGCATGCAGTTCTATCAGAATACCAGGCTACTTACTCTGAATTAGTAAAAGCCCCCAAATCACTATATATTTCATCCTTATAAAGTTTAAATGCTCAAGAACAAAAAAGGAAACAATTTAAACTGTCAAGTAAAATACAGTACCTTATAAGTCTTCTTTTATCTGCCTGTATCCAAAATACCCACCCCCTATCTCAAGTTAACAAAAATTAAATTGAGTTAGAATTCCTAGGATGCTTGTTAAAAATACGGTTTCTTAGGCCAACCCTAAATTTTCATTCCATAGGCCAGGAGACTATCGATGCATCTACAATTTTAATGCAAGAATATGCGTTCTGCCTCTGTAATTAACACCTCTTTGAAGGGAAAATTCAACATGGAATAGAATATGAGCAAAACTCAGCATGAAAACCTGTCAAAGTTGAGTTAAGCTTGGTTCTAACTGAAGAGAGCAGCTCTCCCTTACGTTTTGGATGCTTACACCAAGTGCGGAGTACTTACTAATTGATTTCTCTACTAGAAATCAGGGTTTATTCAACTTAGTGAGTATCTGGGGCCTACTGTGTCCCATAAGGTCTGCTGTGTGTGTGTGTGTGCGTGCACGTGCATGCACATTTGTTCTTAAGTATACTAAGTCACATTTGAGGAGCACTCTGGTCTGAGGCATTCTGTGGAATCTTAAGGTAACATTTACAAATTAAGTGTATCCCTTAGCATTTTACCTCTATGTGACCATAAAATGTGTGATTGTTTGAGCACTTCCACCTACAGACTGTCTATAATTATGGCTGGTTTTTTTCCAAAGGAGAATAGATTCTAAAAGAGTTGTACAATATTTCCCTTATTTGGTAGTCTATAATTTGGATTTCAAATACTTTAAAAGTATGGTATTCTCTATATTGCGATGTTCCAATAATATCTAACAGTCTTTCCCTAATGAATTACCCAAGATAAGGCTGACCTCCCATTCTAGGGCAGCATTAAAGGATGTTACGTTCAAATTATTTCCAATTGTATAGTTTTTGCTGGCTCAGATTGATAAAGCCAAATGACAAAACATAAAATAAATGTATAGTTCATCTCCTTATATTTTATGCTTAATTTTAAGCAATGAGAGTTCATTTATCTATATATTTCTCTTCACATACACATACTTGTATGCATTTGTAATGTATTCATATGCATTTGATGAAATTCTTGCCCTTAAGTCTTGACTCTCAAGAATAGCTCTGGGGTAAATTGAAGAGTAGAGGGTAAAAAGGAGGAAGTAGTGTCCATGATGACGCATTCCAATAGTTACAGGAAGTAACCACAATAGTTACAAAAGTGAGTCACTCTTACTTTAAGATATGAACACATTGCATTATTGTTCTGAAAAGCACTAATTTGGGAGTATACTGCATGGAGGTGTACTGAAATATTTTTAGAAGTAGATATTACTAGAGAATGCCAGAAGATGATGTATTCATTCTAATAGTCAAAATAACTACCCTTATTTAGACATTTCAATGATTGGTAACATTTAGAGTTCTTCTAAATAAATAATCATCACTTTTATAAAATAATATGTTGCAACTACTTACTATTAAACATTTTATCTAATGACAGTTTTGATCTAAAGAGAATTGTAATCATAAGACAGTAAATGTGGCCAGAGTTTAACATTTTATTATTAATAGTATTCCTACTGAGAAATCAGGATAAGCAAAGAGGCACTAGTTAATTACTCATTTTTTTCCTTTCTTTGCTGGTCATTCCCATGGCAATTTTTTTAGATAAAGATTGTTCATGTTGGAAGGGAAAGAGTATGTCAGACACTAGGTACCATAGTTCCTCTTTCTTCTGACTCACTTTGAGCAAGATACTCAGCCTCTTGATGCCCCAGTCTCTCGTCCATTAAGATGAAGTGGGTGTACTAGATTACCTCCAAGTTCACTTTCAGTGCTGAAGTTCTCTGAGTGGTCTTCTGAATACAGGTTATTAAGAATATGAAGGAAGTTTGAGAAGCTTTTTGTTCAGCCACTTATCTTTAGAAAGTAAACCCTTCAATCCTGTGTACTATTTAATGTGCACTAATAGACTGCTTCTGTGTGAACCGCTCTAAATTAGCAATGTGCTAGAGCCTGATCCTGTCCTTTACAACTAATTGTGCCTTCTCCTGACTCCCCATTCAGTGACATTATGCTGATACTTTTGAATGAACTGTGAGGTAATATTCATACTACATAAGTTGGCAACAATTATACATCAGGGCACTTTTTTCTTTAGCAGAACTTTCCCCAATACAGTTTGGTCTAAATTCTTTGTCTACACCAATGTACTTAATCATTACAACTACTCAATCCTACCAGAAGAAAAAACTGAATCACAAAGAGATGAAGTAAGTTGTACAAGGTAACAAAACTAGTATACTAGTTAACCAAATGAATCAACTAACCAAAAATTTTTGATGGCTTTCAATCACAGGTATTTATTTCTTTCTCAAAACAAATGTCCTGGATGGCTTTTCTGTTACTTTAGCCCTTGTTGTTACAGGGACAGAAGAGCAGCCTCTGTTGGGGACCTGATGTTCATCTCATGACCAATGGATAGATGCACAGTGGCTCTTACAACTTCTCTTCAGACAATAAAAACATCTTCCTGCTCACATATTATTAGCTAAGGAATGTTAGATAGCCAACCTGACACCAGTATGGTAGAAAAAGATACTCCTCTCAGAGACAGGAAGGAAAACATACTGAAAACACTAATGCAATATATCACGGCTCAGTGGGTGATAGAACTGGGATTTGCAGCCAAGCAATTTGACGGGAGGAGCCAAGCTCTTAACAAATAGGCTGTTCTGCTTCCCACCTAACACATCATAATCTTTCATTTATTTTCCATAATACAGTTTGTTATTTAGTAACTCTCTGAGGAAATTCTTCCCTCTGATTCCTATAAAGAAAGACCAATGGATTTAGAAAACACATGAACTTTGGAGCAAGACACACTAGATCAATGATGGTGCAGTGGGGTGTTTGTATCACTGAAAGCTCTGAAAGGTTTGCCATCACTGCACTAGATAACAACTGTGTGATTTCAAACTTTATATCCCTCTCCTCCTGTCTTCCAGTGCAAAGATGAAGTGTGTTTATTTTTATTCAAACTTTGTTTTCATGCAAGTAATTCATTAATAAGTTACCAAAAACAGTTTTCATCATTGAGTTTCCTGAAATGTGGAAGGCAGAGAGACATATGAATATCTCTTTCTCCATCAACTAATTTACAAATAAAGAGATTGCTTTGAAATAAGAAGTAAAATAACAGTGGGAAAGTATATATAATTAACTTATAAATTTACATAATAACTATGAGAATGCTTAGCCAATCTAGTTAACTTCTCTAAACTATCATTTCCTATTCTGTAACACGGCGATAATGTTATAGTATTCGATAAAATGTAAATGAGATAATGTATTGCAAATGCCTGTCACTCTTATCTGGTTTGTGCAAGGCACTTGTTAAGTTTGAAAAACTTTGTGATGATTTTGATTTTTTTCAAGAAAAGAAAAAAACATATTAGAGTTACCCAAAACATATAATCTCTTAATACTGAACAATTCTATATCTTTAACCTTTTTGTAACCAATTTTGCTCCTCCAATCACTTTCTCCACACTTCCATGAATATATTACTGAGAAACATACAACTGTAGTGAAGGTTTTG